GCTAGCCCTCTTCCCTCTGGGGACTCTGTTCCATTCTGTGACACCAAAGGGAAAGACGAGACCTTATGGCCTTGGCAGGAGGGAAGTGGCACCCCAGTGCTGCAACGTGCTAGCTGGCCACACACCGAGCTGGTGGTCCACCATGGTCTCCAAACTGGTTAGTTCCTGAGGCCTGACTTAGTGTGTGGAAAAGGATGATGGGGATGAGTCCTGAGTGGGCGGTGTCCCCGCACCTGACGCAATTCACAAATGCTTTGTGACACCTGCCTCCAGGGAAAACAGAGATGGGGAGGAACTTCCTTATTCCAGGAAGAGGGAGGGAAGACTGGAGAGAACCCCACCCAGCCCCGAGGGAGGCCACGATTAAGGCAGTGATGCTGAGGGGGGGGCTCCCTTTTGGGGGGCCCCTTGTGCTCCAATGACAGCAGCACTTCCCCTTTTGTTTCCCACCTTGGGAAAACTTCCATTTGTGACATTTTTTAAAGCATTCACTATTTAAGACCCTTTTGAAAGCAAGAGACAACCAGAGCACAGGGGCACACTCACACCGGGGACCAGGCAGGAGGCGTGTGTGACGGGTTGGCAACCCAATCCCTCAGCCCAGGAAAGGCAGGAGTTCTGAGGCTCTGGAAAGGAAAAGCGACAGCCAGCAAGGACGAAGGCTGGGACAGACAGCTCAGCACAGGACAGACCCCTAGATAAAACACAACAGGAAAGAGCCCTGCCGTAGGAACAGAGGGGCAGGGGCAGCTGAGAGCTCTTCCCAGCCTTGGGAACAAGTCCTTGCACCAGCACCAGCAGGGAACCCCTGAAGCGTAGACGTGTGGAAACAGCCAAGAGCTCCACTGACCTATGCCACGGGGAAATCCACGTTCACGATTTGGGGATTTATTTCTTCCCTGCGCCCCAGCGCCTCCCACATTCATCTCCGGCCCAGGACTGCAGCTTTGTCAGAAACAAACTAGGCTCGACACTCCGTATTTAGAAAGAATTTTAAAAGAGTCAAAAGAACGGAAATCAGTTATCTGTCCTCTTCCAGGGCAGGGAGAAGGCCTCCTTCCCCACGGATTCAAGACTATGGCTAGCAGTGGAGGAAGGCAGGCCCAGCACGCAAGCCTCGGAAGACACAGAAAGGGCCCATGCCAGGCACTTGGCTGGAGGCAAGTGCAGCCCTCGGTCCACAGGACCTGATGGCCACCTGGGTACTGGTTCTGGAAACAAGTTCTCAACTCCCCAGAAACATTTTCTGTTTGTGTTTTGTTTTTTGTCTGCAGCAGCTGGCTGGAGAAAGGTTTCAGAAGATGTGTGCCTGCGGCATCCGAAGGCAGCCTCTGACCCTTCCTTTCCCCTTGGCAAAGGCCTTACAACGCCGAGGAAAGGCCGTGGTTTGGCAATGGAGCCTTCGATAGTCTTCGTTCCTACAGAGCTCAGTGGCTCCTAGGGTGACAGGAAAGCAATTAACTTGGGAAGAGTCTTGGTCTTTCAGTTTCTCTCCCTCCGGGGCCACAGTTCACGGCCACACACACACTCACGACACCGCCTGCCCTCCACACACTCACACACACACACACACACACACACACACCTCTCGAGAACTGAACTCAGGGAGCAGGAAGCTCCGGGCTTCGCTGGTCTGACGTCTGCCTGCCTGGCACCTCGCTCTTTCGTCACTTCTTGCTATTCCTAGGCCCCACTTGATGAGGTGCTCCGGCTTCCACTCTGCATGTCAGGATCGTCATGAAGGCACAGTGTGGGAAAGTCCCCTGCGGGGTGGCCACTGCTTGGGAGCAGGGAGGGCTAAGGGGCCCGCAGCTGCCCAAGGCTGGTGTAGACATCTTCTGCTCCACTCAACTCCTCAAAGATTGGGATCAGGTTCAGCAACTCGGTATCTGCCATATCATCAAACCAGGACTGCACCGGCACCTGGGGCAGGGAGAGGGGGCGTAAGTCTCCTGACACTGCTTTCTCCTTCCCTCGCCCCAAGTCCCCGGAGGCTGGCAGGGCTGGTCTGGGGTGCTGCGCTCCTCTGGTGAGGGCCATGTCCCACCCTCTCTGACCCTGCCACGTGGGCATGTCTGGACCACTCACTGCGTTCTCTGGGTGGAAGATGTAAGAAGCAGGAGAGTTGTCTAGGATGAGGGTTTTCCTCAGATCCCTCCCCAGGCGGCTGAGGTCCTTGACGTAGCAGCCCTGGTGGAACACACAGGACTCGCGGAACAGGCGGGCCCTGAACACCCCACAGCGGTCCAGCAGGTCCGTTACAGGGTCGGCATACTGGGAGGAGAGAAGGTGCCTTGGTTTGGGCACAGCGCTGGGCCACCTGGGCAAGCCTTGCCTGCTCCTGGTTCCTTGGGAGCTAGCCTTGCCTGCTCCTGGTTCCCCACCTGCCCCCAGGTACCTTGGCCAGGCTGGCAGTGAAGAGAACACATTCAAAGAGTTCCCCCATTCGTCTCAGGAACTCATCCACATAAGGCCTCTTGAGCACGTACACCTGTGAGAAAGCAGACAGGTGCGTTGGGGGAATTCCTGCCAGGCTGAAGCAGTACCGCCCTGGTCCCTCACCGCTTACACCGAGAGCAGCAACCAGGTGCAGACGCCCCTCTCCAGCCTCGGGCCACCTGGCTGGAAGCCTTCTGCCCAACAACCAGGGCACTAGCAGTGCCCCTCACCAGGCTTCACCTGGCTCAGCGGTCCCAACCTTAACCCAGCTCGGGAAGAAGCACACACACCCTTGTTCCAGGAGCCATTTGTGTGTCTGGCAGCAGTCCATCGGCTGCCTCCAGAAACAAGTAATCAAGAATAGGCCTCACGGATGGAAACAGCCTATCCTGGATTACTTGAATCCAGCCACAGCCTCTACGGGAGCTTTCCATCCTTGGTCCAGGCAAGACGTCTGTCCAGGTCAGCATCAGACAAGGATCCGGATACTCAACAGCCTTTGCCCTCACAGAGCTTCCTGACCTGTGCTAGGGAGAAGCAACTTTCCCCCTGTGACTAAAAGTGGCCTCCCTGCCGCACCTGGTCCTGGCCCTCCCGACTCTGTCCTGTTCCTGCCCGCCGCCCCTTAGACTCGTGCACACTTTCCACTGTCTTGGACGCTTTGGTCTGAAAGGATTTCGGGCTACAGGTTCCCGCCAATCTGGGTTCTGCTTCCCGGCCCCCAGCCAACACAGCCGCTGCGAGAACCAGGTCCCACTCATGCCCAGCTCAAAGAGCTGGACCTGCCAGAACCCTCCCTCCCAGAGCTGGCTGGACCCCTCCTGGCTCTGCAGCAAAAGCCCTCTGCTCCAGGCAGCCGCTGCTCGGTTCTCGTGTTGCCACTTCAGTCTCCACAAGCCCCTTTCTCTTCTAGGCTGTTCACCCCGGCTCGGCAGCCCTTGTCACTGCTCAGAACCCTCCCCGGCAGGGAGTCCTCCCTCCTTTCCATCCCATCCCTTTTTATTCTTCACCCTATCCTTGTTCATCAGGAGTTCACAGTACGAGTTTGCCCTTGGGGAAACCGGCCTTTGTCTTTCCCCATGGATCTCTCTACACTCTCAACTAGACTGAGGGGCTGTGGGCAGAGTCTGGGCAGTCCACGGGCCCAGAGCAGCACGGTGGGGCTGGGGGTGCTCAAGAAGCCTCCAGAGAATGCAGCACAGTGCCAATGACCCACGGACGCCTCATGCCCCATTTCCCTACTATTTGACCAGGCCATGCAAACAAGCGTCAGCGCTGCCAGAGGACCTGTCCCCTGCTCTGGGACCAGTGTCAGAATTTCCAGGCAAGCCTTCTGAGGAAATGATCTTTCACTACCAACTTCAGATGCTCCTTAACTTTTTTTTTTTTGAGGGATTTTCACTATAGGGCGCGTGTGCTCGCCAGACAGACAGAGACAGAGAGACAGAAAGCGATAAATCACCCCCCAGGGGGGATGGTCACGCCGCAATCCCTTCTCCTCCATTCTCCTCTCGGGATCTTGGGCACACATGCACACGCGCCCGGCATGAGTTTTAAGCCACCGGGTCTGGGATGCGAACTGCGGTCGACTACGTGGGAGTCCAGCGACATAGCCAATACGCTAACTGCTGGTTCCCATGCTCCTTAACTTTGGACTAAGCGGGTTAGGAAGGACTAGAGCCTGGTCTTGTTCAGATTTGTGTGGGCTTTATGTGGACAGATGCTTACTGAGCACTTGCTCAGGCACACTGCAGTGGGGCTCGAGGGGAGAGAAGGCTTCACGGGTGTCTAGGTGGGGGAGGAAGACATTCACTAGTGACTCGGGTGGGTGGGTATGCGGGAGGGCTCCAGGCAGAGGCTCCAACGATGTCTCATCTAACAGTGCTGGCCACACGGGGGGATGGCGATTAATAAATGATAGCTATTACTGGTGTTAACTAACGTTACCTGTTCCCGCAAGCAGCTTGGCTACAAAGAAAAAAAAAGGGTGACAGCTAGTAGGGGAGGTGACGCTGGAATAATTTCTTAAGATGAGAAGCCTCAAGTATGAAAGATACCAATAAAAGGGGAGGGGCTGAAGGTACAGAAAAGTGGGGTGGTGGACCCAGCACAGGTGGGGAGCAGAGGCAGGCTCTACACCCTCTGGGCTGGGTGTGGCCTGGCAGGCAGCTCACCTGGTGGGTGGTCCCCTCGATCTCTACAGGCACTATGAAGTCAGCATTGTTGATTGGCTGGAAGGCAGAAAAGTTAATGACATTAGCATGGAGGGAAGATGACAAGAAGTCCTCACTACACCCCTGGAGGGATGGAGAGGGACTAATCTTAGTAGAGAATTGATCTTAGGAAGCTCCTCCTGCACCCAAGTAACAGGGTCATATTCCTTTTCCCCAGCTCCTCACTCTGCCCAATTCTACCTGACCTTTCGGAGAAAACAAACACCGTGCTAAGACAAACCGGGGCAAGGGCCAAAGCTAATTCAGCTGCCGCATTATGCCTGCCCTGTGCAGACCCTGGTGGCCCTCTGTGCCATGTGGCCATGGCAGAGACAGCCTGCTGGCAGTGACTGGGGGAGCAGGGTTCCCACTCCATGTTCTTTGGTGTGGTTCAGGTGAGGGCCCACGGTGGCTCTAGATGTGGGGTTACCTTAAAGGAGCTATGCACAAGGGTTTCATCCAGGTCAATGACCACACAGATCCTTCCTTGATCTTCCTCTGTCACCTCTGGGAGCAGGCAGGTCCCTGGGATCTAAAACCAGAGAAAAGTTGCTGAGCTCTGCCTACCAAAAAAGCCCCATCCTCCCTCTCAGCAGACATCTGGGAAGAGCTGGTGTAGGCGGGGACAGGCTCACCGACCCAGGACATCCACCACTGAGGCACAGAGAAGAGGAGGCAGAGTTGGTTTCGGCCTCCCTGTGGGATTATTCAGTGATGGGGACACACGGCAGCAGCTAGGGCTGGTGTGGGGTGGACGGCCTCTGTGGGGGTGTCTGTGTTTAGTACCAGCTGTCCCCCAGACCTAAAGCCTTGCACACAGTGGGCCCTCAGCAAATATCTGGAATGAATCAACAGTGGGGAGGTGGCCGGCCAGCCACCAAAGAGTGAGGGCCTTCCTGCTCACCCGCAGAGCCAGTGGGATCACAGGATCCTGGGCTTCAGGGCACTTACCGGGCCAGACTCACGTACCTGATAAAACTGGTACTGGAGACACTGGAGCAGGTCCGACTAAGGGAGAGAGGGAGGTAGCCGGCATTAGCTCTCTAATGGCTCCCACCCCATCCACGCCCAGACTCCTGCCTCCACCCCGGGCTACTTGTACCCCAAGACCCACCACCTAGAAGCTACTAACATGACAAAGGTGACTTTCCTTAGAAGCTGGGCAGGGAAGGGGAAAAGCTGGCACTTCCTTTCCACATCTGGTCTGATGGAGGAAGAGAAGACAGTGTCTCTGTCTCAGCGGGCACTCCCTCTCAGCTGGACAGAGAACGGGGGACTCAGGCAGTAGATACAGGGACACGGAGTCAGAGGCAGAACCACAATCTGAACCCGCAGTGGCAATTTAACCTCCTGCTTAGTCCTTAAACCCAGGCTTCTCTTTGAGGAAGTGTATTTTCTTTCTTTAACCTGCCGGAGGACATGTGTGCTAGCCAGAGGGGAGAGAGAAAGAAACACTGAGAAAGAGAGAGAGAAGGCACCCCTCAGTAGGGCACGATCACATCGCAATCCTTTCTCCTCCATTTCTCCAACCTGTTGGGATTTTTGACACACATGTGCCCGGTGTGTTCCTTAAGCCAGGATTTGAACTGTGGTTCGCCATGTGGAATCCAGCCCTCCTTAGGCCCCTTAGGGGTCTATGCAGTGATGCAGCGGAGCACTGAGCTCCGACTAAAGATCAAGTGAGCCAATGTGAAGACACACTGTAAGTATCCAAAATGAGAGGAGAGGTGGAATGCAGCAAGATCAAAAAGAATCCTAGCACTTCATCTTTTGAAAACAATGGAATTGTCATGATTGTAAATAGTAGTAAAGGTGTTCTTCATGAAAACCTTGAAGAAAATCACAATCCTAGCACTTACAAAAACTTAATATTGGCCTTTCAGTGTATTTCTTTCAGGTTTGTGTTTAGCAGTCTTTTTTCTATGATATGATGCTGTTCTGCATTCTGTTGTTTGACTTAATGCAGCAACTCACTATTTCTCCATGTTATTAGGAACTCTTTGTAAAAATGAACCACTTAGTAATATTGTTATATTTAAACCACTTCCCCAACTGGATAATGAAGTGCTTTTCATTGGGTTAAATGTTTTCAGCCTGGTTTTGAGAAAGAGGAAGGACAGCTAGACCCAGTGTTGCAGGGAGGTATCACTGGCATTTGGGCCAGAAGAATTTTTGTTGGTTGGTGTTGGCTCTATTCTTGAAATACTAGACATGGCTTCTGGTCATTGCTATGGAAACAAACATACACTTTTCCAAATGCCTTGCAAGGGTACAGATGGGAATGGCTGGAAAGGGTTATTAACAGCATTGTCGAGTTTCAATTCCTTGGTTCCCTGCAAATTGGGTAACTTGAAAGGTAGGTTTCCATAGCAGAAGATAACAACAGCAGACATAGGCTTTAGAGTCAGAGATCTGAGTTCGAACCCTGGTGCTATCATTTAATAACCATGAACTCTTCAAGGGCTCCATAAATCCTCTGGGTCTCAGTTTCCACATCTGCAAAGTAGGAATGCTACGGAGCTCCCTGTGGAGTTGCTGTGTGGATCGCATGCAAAGTGGGCCAGCGGGTGGTGTGGTGGTTAAGCTGGCCACACCTGACAGGGTCGACTGTGCAGTTCAAGTCCCTAACCCAGTGGGTTGATAAACAGGCCTGAAGTATGTGTGTGTATGCCTAGGATCTCGAGAGGAAAATGAAGGACAGAGGACTGTGACATGGCTACCACCACCCTGGCGGTGGGGTGGGGGTGGTTTCCCTCTCTTTGTCTCTCTCCTGCAAGTGCATGCATACTATAGCAAATTTAAAAACAAAAGCCAACATATGCAAGGTGCCTTGTAGAGTTCCTGGAACCTGGAAGGATGTGACTACAAGGGTCCTCAGAAACTACAAGGACTCTAGATGGCCCACACCACAAATGGGAAGCAACAGAAAAGAGATGGACTGCTAAGGGAGGGACAGAGGAGAGCCTCCTCAGAGCCAGAGATCTCTGCAACCTCGCACAAGGATCCCAGCCTCCCTGACCCCGTGTCTGCAGGGCTCTCCCACTGGCAGTCCCCTCCTTGCTAGGCCACTCCACTCTGATCCAGCTACCTTCGCGATGGTGTTGGCTTCCTCCTTGTACGCAGCGAGCTCAGTGCAGGAGCTTGACTGGCCAACATGCTGGGCGCGAAAACAGCAGAAAAGGGCCTTGAAGATGTTACGTCCACGTGGCTTCTTAGGAGAGGACTTGGAGACCAGGGCTAGAGTGGAAGGAATGGCAGAGGCATCAGTACAAACCCACACCCCCAGTCTGCTCTACCACGGCACACAGCATATCTCTGACAGAGGAGCAATGGTCAACAGCAAAATACACAAGTTTATTCAAACATTTTCTCTTTAAAGCAGAAAATTTATTTTTTTATTCTGTGGGGGTGAAGGGGAAAAGACTCAAAGATGGCGCCAGGTACAGAATTAATGTATTCTGTTTGAAGTGCCCTCGAAATTAATTTAAAGGGACCAGGAGTTAGTGTAATGGCTATGTCGCTGAGCTCCCATGTAGTTGACCACGGTTCAAGTCCCACACCTGGTAGCTTAAACTCATGCCAGGTGCGTGTGCGCCCTCCTTGCTAGGCCACTCCACTCTGATCCAGCTACCTTCGCGATGGTGTTGGCTTCCTCCTTGTACGCAGCGAGCTCAGTGCAGGAGCTTGACTGGCCAACATGCTGGGCGCGAAAACAGCAGAAAAGGGCCTTGAAGATGTTACGTCCACGTGGCTTCTTAGGAGAGGACTTGGAGACCAGGGCTAGAGTGGAAGGAATGGCAGAGGCATCAGTACAAACCCACACCCCCAGTCTGCTCTACCACGGCACACAGCATATCTCTGACAGAGGAGCAATGGTCAACAGCAAAATACACAAGTTTATTCAAACATTTTCTCTTTAAAGCAGAAAATTTATTTTTTTATTCTGTGGGGGTGAAGGGGAAAAGACTCAAAGATGGCGCCAGGTACAGAATTAATGTATTCTGTTTGAAGTGCCCTCGAAATTAATTTAAAGGGACCAGGAGTTAGTGTAATGGCTATGTCGCTGAGCTCCCATGTAGTTGACCACGGTTCAAGTCCCACACCTGGTAGCTTAAACTCATGCCAGGTGCGTGTGCGTGCATGCCCAAGATCCCGAGAGGAGAATGGAGAAGAGACTGTGGTATGGCCATCCCCCGGGCGGTGATTTCTCACCTTCTGTCTCTCCTTTTCTCTCTTTCTGATGAGCGCATAACTTCTCCAAAAATAATAATGGTAATTTACAAAGACAAAAATCTCCCCCGACTAACGCCACTACCTAGGAAGGCCACCTGTTCCAGACAAGGAAGTAACCTCGTCCCGCTGGAGTTAGCAAAAGTGCAGTTTTGTTCAGTGTGAGCTTCCCTAGATGCTGGGTTGGCTTAGCAGACCTGAGCCCATTTGGCTTAAAACTTAAGACTAGAAACTTCAGTGACCCAGCAGTTGGTGTAATGGCTATGTCTCTGGACTCCCCATGTAGTTGACTGAGGTTCAAGTCCCGGACCTGGTGGCTTAAACTCACACAAGGTGCGTGTGCGTGCGTGCCCAAGATCTCGAGAGGAGAATGGAGGAAAAGGGATTGCAGCGTGGCCATACCCTCTGGGGGGTGATTTCTTGCTTTCTGTCTCTATGTCTCTCTCTGTCTGTCTCTGTCTTTCTTGCAAGTGCATACACCCTACAGCCAAAAACCTCTCCAAATTCAAAGCAAAAAAGACTAGAAACTTTAGAATAGCCACAGTCCCCAAGAGGAAGCTGTAGTGGTCCTACAGACATCTTCATGTCTTCCCACATTTCAGTCGCTTTCTTAAGACTCTTGATCCTAAAGACAAGGAGCCTGATGGGTAAAACACAGGTGGGTTAACCCCCTGGGGCACACACAGCTGGCCTCAGATCTCAGGCTGATGTTCCTGCTTCTAGACTGCAGCTGCTTCGTCCTACCATGGCAATGTGGGCTTAGGAAATACAAAGCAAATTTAACAGGGAGCTTGGAAGAGCCGCTCCAGAAAGGCAAGGCAGATACAGAAACCTGTGGCACTACAGGATTGACCAGAACCAGACACAGAAGCTCCTTTTGCTTTAGATGAACTGTTCTGGCAACTGTTGAACATGAAGTGGAATGCTACGATGTATACTGTAGCCAGGAGATGGCGCTGCACAACCACTCATAGAATGGTCCTCAGCTACAGGTCTCCCAAGCCCGGGTTCTGAATATCCCACCATGGGATAGGGAGATGGGCCAAGGATTGAACCCAGTCCACTCCAATTTAAAGCGCAGAGTGAACTGTGTGGGAAAATAAATGCCCAAAATGATTGTCTATGAGGGAAAGAAAAGTAAATGGAATGTCCGTGTGCCCCTAGGACCACTTCCTCTGTATCATCCTTGGGATGTGGATGAAGGGAAGGGAAAGGCAATGTGATGGGCTGTCCAGGAGCAACTCAGAGCTCCCCTGCCTCAGTCCAGTGCTCAGAGCCTGCACCATGGTGGCCCTTGCATAAGAGGGTGACAGGGAGCCATTTAGCATGCAGTTACTGGGCTACCTGTGTTCTTGGACTGGAAGAGAAACAAACTGAACTGCTCCCAGGACCAAGGGTGTGGAAAATAACATGCAGCAGGCAGTCAAGTGCAGCCAGCACTGTCTGGGACAACAGACTCAGCTCTGACTCAACAGAAAGGCAGAGGACTTCCTGCAGGTGCAGCCCGGGGCCCTCCCTGTTGCTGGTCCAGAGCTCTTCCTCTCTTTTCCTCTCTCTCTCTCCTCCCTCTGTTAGGCCAGATCCTGGTATGAAACTGGAAATCTGGTATGACCACTGGAAACTTCTTAGAAAAAACGATTGGGCTTGTCCAGCAATTAGCCTAAAAACCTGGACTCTCAAGCAACTGGTCCTAGAAGAACAACTATGTCCAGGAATTGGGGATTTTGTCCTGAAGTTGTGCTGGGGATATCCTCAAAGTCCCTGAATCAGAGACAAAAATCAGAGCACAGTTCAGCACTTGCAGATGGCAGGACAAGGGTGCCTTGGACACCCCCAGCCCTACCGCTTCCGCCCCACAACTTTGGATCATGCAGAAACTGGAGGGAAAGGACAGCTTCCCCACCTGCCTGTAGGGCCCACACTACATTCCAAACCCAGGGACTCATGGCAGACGGTAACACAAAGCTCCAAGACCAAAGCTGAACCATCGCTTTTCCTTTTGGTTTATGGTTTCTTCATGCAGAACCACAATCAGAGGCTTAACCCGGGCACCGAGCCTTTCTTAAAAGGCCACACAGCCTGGGCCTTTCCTGAAGAGAGGCCATCAGGAATGCACTCAGCATCTTAGTGACAGACGCTGTGAAGGCTGAGTAATCCTGAGAGGCAGTGGGGTGAAAGGGGCAGCTGGCTGGGGCCACTGAGAGGCCTCGCCTGTGCCCACTGCGGGAGGCCCAACAGGCAGAAGCGCCTCAGCCCCGGACAGGGAGCTTGGGCTCTGCAGGGGATGAGGGTCTTCTCAAAAACACAATGTGACTAGCAGTCCCTGGGCCTCAGAGACCACAAATGCCTTGACCTCAGGGGCAGGCGCTTGAAGCAGAGTACCCCAGACCCACAACAGCAAGGTCAATACCCCAGACAGCCCCACTCCCCCTCCCCTGATGGGGCCCACTTCCCTTGATCCTCCTCCAGGCTGTCTGTCCTCACCTTTACAAACACTGCTCCTGAGAATTCATCAGGGCCTGCTCCAGCCTCCCCAGCATGGCTGCCTCCCCACAGGGCCTGCAGTGGCCTCGACCCAGTTAATTCATCAGCCTCTGATGCTCTGCAGAGCAGGTGCTCGATACCTTTGACTGGCTGAGTGACTGATGCCAGGGTCTGCAGAGCCTCTATCACTTCTACTGAGGTGGGACCTGGGGAAGGGCCCACTAGTTCGCAGCCCAGACGACGTGGAAGCAGGGAAACCTCCTCTATATGGGAAAGTGGTGGGCACTGAAGGAGCTGCACACCTGAGCAAGTCTCTTCGTCCATCTGGGCCTCAGCCTTGTTTACCAAGCACTACTGATGTGCCAGGCCTCTGTTAGATGCCTGACGTCATTGCCTCATTTAAGGCTCACTACAAACCCATTTGTACACACTAATTCCCCATTTTACAGAAAGGAAACTGAAGCATACACAGCTTAAGTAACTTGCTCAAGGTCACGCAGGTCACATCATAGAGCAGAGCTAGGATTTGAACCAGGTCTGTCTGAACCCAGAGCCAAGTTCCTTAACCATCTTTCCTGGCAGTTCAGGGATGTTGTGCACATTTACTCATGCAACAGCCGGGAGGGTTGTGGGCACTCTCAAGGTCTCTTCCTGGAAGCTTCTGCTTTACTCCTCTGCAGGATGGCTGGTAATGGAGCAGTTTGAAGTCCAGCCCCCCACCCCCCGCCCCCGTTTCCCTGTGTCCCCCTGGGCAGGCCATGTATAAGGGGTAAAACAGTCAAGGCTCTAGGATTCCACTCCAGGGAATCCACCCCCACCCTTGCCCTGCACCTGCTCTGACTAGCAGATACCTCTGGGAGATCAGAGGACAGTGGGGGAGGGAGAAGGAGGAAGGGGGAGGGGCCAAGAGCTTTGGTCCAAGACTTGCTTTGTTCGGTGGGTTTAAGGGTGAGCGGCAACCACACACCAAAGTGGGATCTGAAACTGTCAAAGAGTCTTTCAAATAGCTCCTTTCAGCCAGCACTCAGCATTGTGTCCCTGACAGCCAGGTGCAGGCCACCCCCCACCACTGTGTCTGTGATGGGAGGGGCACCAACTCGCCTCCCCAGGGGAAGAATACCCGGCACAAGAGGATTTCCCTGCACGCGGTTTCCCCAACAAGGGAAGGCACGATTGCAGTGGGTACCACATAGCTTGACCTGCCGCCCTCCTTCCTACCTTCATCCCCGGCCACTCTCTTGATAGACAACAGCACAGCGGCTGATGGGCATCTGCCCTCCAAGCTCCAAACATCTGGCCTGGGGCTAGATGTCCAAGAGGACCTTGCCTACTTGATGAGGGGCACCAGCCCTGGCTTAAGAAAGCGGGCAGGTGGCCGAAGACAGGGCAGCCAGGGAAGTCAGGCCTCCCTCCAGCTCACAGCTACGAGGATCTCTGCTGAGGCAGGGTGTGAAGACAGGAGTTACTAATGTCACACAGCCTCTTAGAGCCTTACGTTTCTTTGTCCATAAATTGGGATACAACAAAACCTCACTCATAATCGAAAGGATAAACACATAGAATAAAGCACTTGTGGGCCCAGCAGGTGCTGTGGTGGTTAAGGCACTGAACTCCCACATGGCCAACCTCAGTTTGAGTCCTGGACCTGGCAGCTTGAAAATCACACTGGGTTAAAGTGCGTGAGTGCCCAAAATCCCAAGAAGAGAAAGGGAGGAGAAGGGATTGTGGTGTGGCCATCTCCGCTGGGAGGGGAGGGGTGACTTCTCACTTTCTGGCAAGCTCGTGTGTCCAATGGCAAAAACCTAAAATAATAATAACAATAATAATGGAGCTCTGAAACATGCTACAACATGGATGACCCTTAGGAAAAAAGAATAAGGCACTTGAAAACTCTAAAGTGAAATGTTGTGCTTGTTTTAATCAATTATCTAAGAGGAGAGGTCAACTAATTGGCAACATTATAGGCGAGCGAGCGACGATGAATCAAGAGCCCTCACATGGCTGAAACGCAAGGACGGAAGATGTGGGGAAGGTGCCTGAGGAACTCTGATCATGAGCATGTTTCA